AAAAAAGATTCTGTCAACCAAGAATACATGCGCAAGGCAAGATTTATGAAACGAAACAGAAAATAATCATGTCATTGTCAGTGCAATGCAGACAGCCAGACCTGTTTTGATTAGTTCGCTCGTTTCTCGTTTGCTGGCCATTTTTTCTGGAGTGTGACACAAATGGTGAACATGATACTGCCAAATCAATCAAGAACCAGGATACGGCTTGGATACGCTGAAACTTTGTAAATCGTCCTCTTTTCAATTGTAAACTTTATTCCAGTGTTACGCTAAATACATGTACTAAATACTAAACAAGCGCACATATCGTATTCATTTACAGCATCGGATTTTAAAACAATGACTCGTGGAATCACAAAGAACTGTTAAGTACGTATTTCACACATTACCGAGGACCGCGGTAGAGACCGGTACAGCGGTAGAGACCCCTAATTATAAGCAGTCCGCGGCTCTCCCCGGCGTTCTGCGGTACACCGCGGTAATGACCGCGGTGCACCGCCCGTTTGATTTCCTACTCTTCCCGAAGAGTATTACAACGCATTACTTCTATTTGTTTTCTAGATGCGTGATATGCGTCATGACAACATCGCAAAATTCATTGGTGCGTCTGTTGACCGACCTCATATTTGCATACTGATGGAATACTGTGCAAAGGGTAGTTTACAGGTACCTGCTATATTTAAGACACTTAAACTCATTCTATGTAAGGCTACTCTAAATTTGGTGTGGCATGTTATTATTGTCATCAAACTATAGAATAATATCTCATTATAATTTTATGCTATTAAAGGCAAATGAGAATTTCTTGTCACAATCTGCCTACCGGTATATAACAAATTTTAATACTGTAAAACCATTTATTTTCACTTGTATTTAATTTAACTATTTTGATACTTTTCACTGGGTAATTTAACAAACTTGGCATGGAAACAGTTATTCATTTTACATGCTCACATGAATTTTATTTGAATCCAGAAAATAATTAATGTGTTTACAGTATTGGATTATGCAATGAATATTATTTTAAAAGTAGCTTTTGGTAGATGTAATGGTAATGAAGAATGTAGTTTGCCCTCAACATAAATAAGTTTGTGGTAAAATATGAGGCATTGTCAGTTGGTAATATTACTGTTACTGTAAAATCTGTATTAGAAGCTGCGACTTCTATTAAAATGGTACAGTGCAACAGAGGGGATGTGGCTTCTATTGGAGCATGAGAAATTGTAAATGTTTGGTTCTCAAAAGCAATGGGCGCGACTTATATTAGAGATGTGGCTTCTAATACAGATTTTACGGCACTATAGATTTAGAATTCTTTGCTGAGCTATCTATTCTTTTGGCACAAAAAAAATTTGACTCTCGTCATTGTACGTGTCAGAGTTTGAAATTTGTGTTATGGTAAAGTGCATCACATACAGTAGAATAAGAAAATGTTTGTTTCCCATTTCAAATGGTGTTCCAAATCAATCTCTATTGCTTTTTTTTGGAAGCATGGTTCAATAAATTCAAAAACCCTCAATATATGTCCTGTTGTTGTGGTATTAAGTTTTTCCGATGAGATGAGATACAAAACTTTTTGCCTTAGCCTTTGATTGCCATAATTTTTCGCACCAAAATTTGTGTGGAACATCTCTATTTTTTGGGGGGATTTTTCGACCAAATAATCTGTTGTGATCAAAATTTTGGTAAAAATGAGTTTTATCTTTTTAGAGATGACAAAAGTTGACTACCGTTTTCTACTCGTCTAATGCCAAATGTAAAATGTACATTGGTCAGTTTAGATGCAGTGCAGATTCTAGGTGTTAGTGGAGTGGTGTGTAGTGAGTGGAATGTCACAGATTCTAGGTGTTAGTGGAGTGGTGTGTAGTGAGTGGAATGTCACAGATTCTAGGTGTTAGTGGAGTGGTGTGTAGTGAGTGGAATGTCACAGATTCTAGGTGTTAGTGGAGTGGTGTGCAGTGAGTGGAATGTCACAGATTCTAGGTGTTAGTGGAGTGTTGTGTAGTGAGTAGAATGTCACGTAGATTCTAGGTGTTAGTGAAGTGTTGTGTAGTGAGTGGAATGTCACATAGATTCTAGGTGTTAGTGGAGTGTTGTGTAGTGAGTGGAATGTCACAGATTCTGGGTGTTAGTGGAGTGTTGTGTAGTGAGTGGAATGTCACGTAGATTCTAGGTGTTAGTGGAGTGTTGTGTAGTGAGTGGAATGTCACGTAGATTCTAGGTGTTAGTGGAATGTTGTGTAGTAAGTGGAATGTCACAGATTCTAGGTGTTAGTGGAGTGTTGTGTAGTGAGTGGAATGTCACGTAGATTCTAGGTGTTAGTGGAGTGTTGTGTAGTGAGTGGAATGTCACGTAGATTCTAGGTGTTAGTGGAGTGTTGTGTAGCGAGTAGAATATCACATTGATTCTAGGTGTTAGTGGAGTGGTGTGTAGTGAGTGGAATGTCACATAGATTCTAGGTGTTAGTGGAGTGGTGTGTAGTGAGTAGAATGTCATATAGATTCTAGGTGTTAGTGGAGTGTTGTGTAGTGAGTGGAATGTCACAGATTCTAGGTGTTAGTGGAGTGTTGTGTAGTGAGTGGATTGTCACATAGATTCTAGGTGTTAGTGGAGTGTTGTGTAGTGAGTGGAATGTCACGTAGATTCTAGGTGTTAGTGGAGTGTTGTGTAGTAAGTGGAATGTCACAGATTCTAGGTGTTAGTGCAGTGGTGCGTAGTGAGTGGAATGTCACAGATTCTAGGTGTTAGTGGAGTGTTGTGTAGTGAGTGGAATGTCACGTAGATTCTAGGTGTTAGTGGAGTGTTGTGTAGCGAGTAGAATGTCACATAGATTCTAGGTGGTAGTGGAGTGGTGTGTAGCAAGTAGAATATCACATTGATTCTAGGTGTTAGTGGATTGGTGTGTAGTGAGTGGAATATCACATTGATTCTAGGTGTTAGTGGAGTGGTGTGTAGCAAGTAGAATATCACATTGATTGTAGGTGTTAGTGGAGTGGTGTGTCGTGAGTGGAATGTCACATAGATTCTAGGTGTTAGTGGAGTGGTGTGTAGTGAGTAGAATGTCATATAGATTCTGGGTGTTAGTGGAGTGGTGTGTAGTGAGTAGAATGTCACATAGATTCTAGGTGTTAGTTGAGTGGTGTGTAGTGAGTGGAATGCCACATAGATTCTAGGTATTAGTGGAGTGGTGTGTAGCAAGTAGAATGTCACATTGATTCTAGGTGTTAGTTGAGTGGTGTGTAGTGAGTGGAATGCCACATAGATTCTAGGTATTAGTGGAGTGGTGTGTAGCAAGTAGAATGTCACATTGATTCTAGGTGTTAGTGGAGTGGTGTGTAGTGAGTGGAATGTCACGTAGATTCTAGGTGTTAGTGGAGTGGTGTGTAGCAAGTAGAATGTCACATT